CGGGAAGGCAGTGGGTTTTGGGGTGGAAGCCCTGATGTACCTGCTTGTGCTGCTCACGGCTGTCTATGTCCCCAGGAGAGTCCGCTGCCGGCATATAGAAGGTTGAGGACAATCTATGTTGAGGGAAAACATACCACCTCCTAGGACGGGTATACCTTTGCATCTGTTGGGCTTCCTGGCAACTTAGAAAGTTCATTTGTTTGCAAACGAGGGGTCCCTTGTCCCTTCTAGTAAATGGTTTGGGATCTACAAGGGAACAGAGCCGATGACAACATTCCCTTCAAGTGAATAAAGGAGCGTGCTCTGTGCCTCTGTCCCACATGGCATGTGCTGCCCATGAACGCTCCCCTAAGTGTGGCCTCGCCCTGAGTCAGTCCAGTGAGCAGCACAGAGATGCTCCGTTGGCAGGCAGGCAGGCAGGCCTGCTGGAGGCCACATTCACTTTTGGCCACTAATGATTCTTATGGACAGACTCCCTAAATTCTTTTCAACCTGTGCCATGCCCCAGCACAAGTTCCGGTGGGTGGGGACAGTTGACACACTTGGCTGCTAATTGAAAGGTTGGACTTACAAGTCCACCCAGAAGCACGGGGGAAGAAATGCTTAATGATCTACTTTTACAAACCCTCGGTGCTGAAAATGCTGCGGAGCACAGTTCCTCTCTGACATACACGGGTTCTAGGGAGTTGGAATCGGCTCAGTGGCAACTGACAACTCGTTTCCAAGAAGTGATTTCGCTCACCCCTGCCCGTATACGTTGGTATAGGGTGCCAATAGCTCTATATCTGTCTATCCATCTACATACACATGGGAGGGGCTGCCCAAAACTGGAAAAGCTTCCACTGGCAGACATTTCGTAGTGAACCTTTTTCCTGCTAGGTGAGTATCAAGCAACTTGCTCTGAGTTAGTGCACCCAATGGCGTTGCCTGGGAAGGTTCTCTCTGGTCACAGTGAATATTTTTCATAAAACCATTTCACTTGAACCTCATTTTTGTGATGACTGATTTAAAAGAACAGCATGCGGCTGTGAAATTTTGTTTCCTGCTCAGGAAAAATGCTGCAGAAACTTATGATGTTGAACACAGCTAACAAGGACAGCACTGTGAGAAAAAGTCAAGTGTACAAGTGGTTTTCTCATTTCAAAAAAGGTGAAATGTCGATTGAAGACAAACCTCGTTCTGGATGTCCAGTCAACTTCCCAGATGGATGAAAATATTGACAAAATTCACGCATTTGTGCTCGAAGACCAACGACAGACCATTGAAGAGATGGGGGAGTTATCTGGACTATCTTGGAGCTCGGCTGAGTGAATGTTAACAGAAGATCGGGAATGAGAAGGGTTGCTGTGAAATTTGTGCCTCGGGCTCTGAGCAGGAAAAAGAGGCTAGTGCAGCAGTTCCCAACCTGTGGGTTCTCAACCAAGAGTTGCCCGATTCATAACAGTAGCAAAATTACAGTTTTGAAGTAATTTATCTAACTCCAGAACAAGAGAAGGATAAATCTCATTTCACATAAAGAGACAGGACAGGAACATGAGCGGATTGAAAGCATGCCCCTACTGGAATGGTTTGCCAACAACTACAAACATTTGGAGATACATTAGAAATTGTCACAGATAAGTCACAAGAAGGATCCCAATTTGTGAAAGGATTTGGCGGAATTGGAGGTATCTTACTGTACCGAGTAAATTTCCAGGGAATGGAATATCAAGGAGGATGGATTTTTTGACCTTGATGACTACTAGGTTGTCGACATGGGTCCGGCAAACCGTGCCTCACCCTCCAGCATCCAACCCAAGGAGCAGACCCGTGGTGGAATCCAAACAGATCCCTGCCTTATGATGATTAGACCCTTCTCAGAACTTAACTCCACGAGCACTGGATATTGAAATGAAAACCAAGACACAACCAGGCCCGACCCTACACTGGTTTGTCATGGTGTCAGCACAGCAGCCTACAACGAAGATCCTAAAGGTCACTATGGACTAATTTTAAAAAGAATCCCAGTTTTTACTTTTACTTGATGGTGAGAATTGGTTGCTCTTGTATTTTATGGAAAAAACAAATGATATTTTTAACCTTCATACCTAGAAGCAAAAATACTTTAAATGCTATAAACCTTCAAAAGTTAATTGTGTTAGACAGGGTTCTCTAGAGAGATAAAACCAAACTGCTGATCATTTAATATATTTATTTATAAAGATAATTAGATATATAACAAGAAATGAACTGTTAAATCATATACAGATAAATATATAATACAAGAAATAAACAGTTAAATTATAAAGCACTACAAATGGCTCAATGCACTTCACTCCCGTGAGAGAGAGTTGTGAGAGACTAGCAGTCCTTCAAGTCTAGTCTGCTGCCAGATCTTCCTCTATTTATAAAGAGCTAGGCTATGTCAGCACAGCAGCCAATCACAAGGCAGGTCCCCAACTGCCAGCCAGGTCACCAACCGCCAGTCCCCAGCTCCAGAGATGTCTTAAAGGGACCTCAACTTACAGTGACACAGTCCACAGGCTAGGCGTCCCACAGGTAGTGTAGCCTTTAAATTGAGGCACAGAACAAGCAAGGCAGCTGCACACTGGTCTGATGATCAAACAGCGAATGACAAGAAAGGCGAGGCTCACTGAGCCATTTATCTCTCTGCCCTTCAGTTAATCCCACTTGTGTTTATTGGCCAGGCTGGCCCAATAAACTATCTCATTAATAGAAGTGACATCATACTGGTTTGGTTATTTTGATTGGAGAAAAATTAAATTGCTGCATTCCGCAGTGACCCATTTACATGGCGTTCTCAGCTTAGACTGCATAAGAAGAAATGTATGTGGTGAAATGTTGGAACCATTTCTCTCTTGGTCTCTGGTTAATGTTGAAAGGGTGAGCCGATAGGAGGCATTTTCAACTTCACGCCCTCCCACCCCTTCCCCCTCCAGACTGCCAGTTGTAAGGATGCAAATTGCATTGCAAAGCCTAACTGCCCCGGAAGCAGTTGGGGCCGGTGCACTCTTTCCATCTGCTTTATAGATGCATATGTGCCCAGGTTTGGGGAGCCCTTGGCATCCATTGCTTTGACAAAGGTTCCCATGATCTTAGCCTACTAGAGACCAGTTTGGAATGGATCTGATGGGGCTTCTGTGCTTTTTCTGGGATTGCGAGAAAATTTAAGTGAAAGCAAAAAGATTTAAAGAAGACTTTATTTTGCTTTGGTCTATCCTTGGTCAAAGGCAGGTGGTCGTGTTTTCCTTGTGTTGGATGGCATGAGATAATGTGAATGTTTTGATTTTAATAAAATGAACTGCAAGGTTTTTTCACAGGAAAAAAAAGTAGCAATGAAAATAATTTTATGGTTGGGAGGGGGTCACATGAGGAACTGTATTAAAGGGTCGTGACATTAGGAAGGTTGAGAGTCACTGGTCTAGTGGAAACTTGCTGTGCTTTGAAAGAACAGCTCCAAAGTGACCCAGACTTTCCCCCCCAAGGTCATTACTGGTGACAAGACATGCTGCTATTCCTACAAGCCTGAAAGAAAGCATCAATCAAGCCATCGTCACCTTGCCCAAAAAAACTTGTCTAGTGAAATCAAAGATCAAGATGATGCCCAATTGTTTTTTTTGGTGTGAGGGGGATAGTGCATTTGGAGTTTGTTCCACTAGGTCAAACTGATTATCAAGCTTTCTAGTATTTAGATTCTGAAAAGATTGTGTAACAGTGTGTGACCAAAAACAGCCTAATTTATAGCAGAAGGGGTACTGGTTTTGCCACCAGGACAATGCACCTGCTCACGCAGCCATTTCAGTGCGCCAGTTTTTGGCAAAAAACAGCATGGCTCTCTTGCCTCATGCACCTTACTCACCTGACCTCGCTCCGTTCGACTTGTTTCCGCGAAAGAAGAGGGACACGAAAGGACTGTGATTTGATGATATAGAAGAGGTGAAGAGAAACAGGAGATGCTGTCAGCCATCCAAACAGATGAACTTGAAAAATGTTTCCAAGAATGGAATTGCAGATTTGTCAAATGTATTAAGTGTGATGGAGAGAACTTTGAATAAAAATTTAAATACATAGCTTTTGGGGAAAAACAAAATTCTGGTTTATTTTTGGTACCCCCTTGCACATATTTGTTAATTTGTCTGAGTCATCTTGAAACATCCAGCCAGTTGGCTAACATGCAGATTTTAGTCCTGCGTGTGTTGGTTATTCTACTCAATTTCATGACATTTACTGATTTATTAAGCAAACCTTCTAGCCGTGTAATCACAGACAGGGCGGGTACTCACTTCAAGCCCGTTTCTGCTTGTGTAAAACGGGGCTGATAATAGGATTAGGGTTGCTGAGAAGACTAAATGTGGTCGTTTTCACCAAGCAGTAGGGCAGCTCTTGGGTATATGCGAACTGTGCTTTAGGTTTTATAACGGTTGCTTATTTAAGTCATTGAAAACAAAGTTGGACCAAGCAGTTATAGGACTGATGCCTATGCCACCTCTCTGAAAGCCACTCTCCTGTGTAGATATACGAGGAGAGCGGGTGGCACAGCGGTTCAGATACAGCAGCCACTTCCTGGGAGACAGGTGTGGCGTTCTGCTTCTGTGAAGAGCACAGCCTCCGAATCCCTATCCGGGTGGCAGTTCACTATTGCATCAGGGTTACCATGCGTTGGAAGTGACTGGGCATAAGAGGGCTATGGGGTAGTGGTTGGTTCATAACAATCTAGGGTCCTCCTGTAGCATGTTTCCATTACCTTAGCCACAAAGAACTTTTTAATTAAGAGTCCTTCTCAAGGACAGACCCTGATATCTCCTCAGTTGGCTTATTACATAAGATCCTTCCATCTTTAAATGCCTTTTTTTAAAAAAATGAATTGTTTTCTTGATTTGTTCTTAGTGATCCCACCCAAGCAACTTTTGGCCATGGACACTGTGAGGACCACTCTTGTTTCTTCCCCAAATCCCCCAATACATTACAAAACAAAACCCAAACAGAATAATTCCACTGGCTAAGAGCATATGAAGTGATTTATTGATACTGGTTAAGATCCATTATATACAGGTAGAAACCTTCAAAATTTTACAAAGAACCATTAGGAATGTTGATACAGTTTTGTAGACAAAACAACTGGAAAACAGTTTAAACATACACAACATATAATTATGGGGGGGGGCGGGTAGAACAATGCCGGTTCTACCAGATAAGATTCCAAGGTTATTAAAAGTCTGCAATGCAAACCTTAAGTTGAAAAATGCAGTCGATGGGGTTACACGGTTTTAAAAATTAGATATAATGTAAAAATTAAGGTGTTTTTTTTCTCACCGCAAATGGGAGAGGAACCAAGACAACTTTTTACTCCAAATCTATACAATTTGAAAAATAATTTATATGTCTAGCACGGAGAAAGAAAATGGCGAAAGTTTACAGTTCTGTAAACGCTTCCGTGAAATGTCAACGGAATCAGTTTCAAACGTTAAAAATTGTGCCGTCAGAAATAGACTGTTCCCTTTAAGGTACAAGGCGTACCTTCGCTGGCTTTATACCTGAGCACCGCAGCCGAACTTCTAAATGCCGTCTTGGAAAGAAAGCTACTCTGAAAGCAAGAAATCAAAACGAGCGACTCTGGAGAGCTGGGCACCGAGGAGGGCCGCCTCCGCAGGCGCTCCCTCAGCGCAGCAGCTGGCAGATCTCCTTGTGGACGCAGCAAAGGAAGTCCACGTAGGAGGCGCCGCCGTACAGTCCTTTGTCTTCCACCAGAAACTGCCGGAACCCCATCTCGGGCTGCTCTCGCTGCTTGACCACCGTGAGCTGCGGGCGGACACAGAAAGGCGACAAGGTATCAGGCCGCGAAGGTGTGTGTGCTGCGGTTCACCAGCTGACTGCCGCGGACTGTCCACCGGCGACAAAGTGTCTGTGCCCCCCAGCGGAGAGCGGCGGGATCGCAAGGCCAGGGCGACAGTGAACCTGCGCCCAGGGCTGTGGGAAAGGTTCACAATGGCAGCGAGGAAAGGACTTCCCCATGAGTGAGTGTGTGTTTTCTAAGAATATTCCATATACCGCTGGCGAGTAAATTAACACAGGCTTCGAAAGAGCAGCCGGCAACTAGGAACTAACTGCCATCATACTAAGTCTGAGACTTGAGTAGCAAATTGGTTTCAGTGAAGGTATGGCTGAATGCAGAGACAGCTGCGGGCAGCAGGCGTGAGATGGGGGCACTAGACAGGCGGCTATAGGAATCTTCCAGGTGGGAGGGGAAGACGCTCCAAACTCCCTGCCAGTCTATTCTGACTTGTGACAGAGCAGAACTGCCCCTGGCGAGTTTCTGAGATGTAAATCTTCACAGGAGTATCGTCTCCTTTTCTCCCAGGAACAGCTAGTAGATTTGAACTGCTGACCTTGCGGTTAGCAGCCCAACACAGAACCCACTCCACCACCAGAGAGGGCTCCTTCCCTAGGCAGTGTACCCAGACAGCTTTCCCCCTGGTCAGGGGAAGCCACATAACCTCATGAGGGATATTTGTCAAGTGGAGTTTGGACTGGCCTCCTGGTAAACCTGCAATGGAAGCAGATTTCTCCTTAAACTGTATGCACCGTGTTTTGAATGCTGCTACGATTTTGCTATGACCCAAGGTAATGGCAGTGAGGGTCTGGGCCCAGCAATACAACATGATGTGCTGAGAGAAATCATGGTGGGCCGATGTTGAGACTAATTTCTTTTTTGTGTGAAAATTAAGGGGGAGGAGGCTCCTCCTGCCCCTTTGTGAGGCATCCTTTCGGGTTATCTTCTTGGTTTTCACGTGGTGCTCACTGTACCCTCACCTCTGTCAAGTGTGCCTGGTCACCACCAGGCGTGGGAATGCAGCACTGGCAGAATCTTGGCTCTGCCACTCAGCTCTGTAGACAGAAATCCCAGCACTTGCTCCAGAAGGACAAAGGGAGGAAGAGTCGCATGGAGGTGGGGGTCAGGTTGCCTGGATTCAGAAATAGCTTTCTCTGCAGTGGCTTCACCACACAAGCCAGAGGAAGAAATATGGGGATGACTGAGAGTATTCGGTTTCCCTCATTCACAGGTCTCTAGGGGGTGACCTCCGGTCATGCGGCGTTGGGGGAATTGTTCAAATGGCCATTGCTGGTCCCGTCTCACTTCCTGTGCGTCCTCTCCTTGGAAGGATTAGCTAATGCGGGTGGTCCGAAGGAGATGGTCGCTGGCTCACATTCCCAGTGGCCTTGGTGAACTACTGTGCACGGCACAAGGTTTGCCTCAGAGGTGATGCCCTCTCTCACGCTGGCCCACAGGGAAGAGCTACAGCACGGGCCTGCTCAGGAGTGCGGGAAGTGCTGGAGGGAAGAGGGCCCCGACTCTTACGGGGCAGATGAAGGAAGAGAAAGAACATGGGTGAGAAAAGAGAAAAATCAGATGAGTATGATGCCTTGCAAGCTAGCAGAAGTGGCTTGGAAGGGAAAGGAGATGTTTAATTTCAGAGATGCTGTTCGGGGATTGAGTGATGGGGCAGCCCAGGGAAAACTGGAGCAATGGGAAGAAAGAAACATGCGGGGAAACACAGGCTTTTTATCCCCGAGAAGCAAGGTGGTGAAACATCTGGCATCTCGGGTGTCCGATACGTATTTGTAGATTGAATGAAAGAACAAGCAGAAACTGCACGGAGCAAGGTGTGCTTGAACACTGTGAAGACTGTGCAAAGGAGCCAGTGAGAAGAGTAAACTAGGGGTCCAGGTAGGGCCATGGTTTAAAGCACTTGATTGCTAAACAAAAGGGTAAGTGGGTACACACACACACCAGCTGGAAAGACTGACCGACAGCCCTGGAGGCACTGTGGGGGCATTTCTACTCTGCCCTTTACGGCGCCTATGTGTCCACTGCAGGTGACGACAGTGGGATTTCAATTGTGTTGATTCTGTTTGTGGTGACTACTCTGGGAAACCAAGAGGAAGTAAGGAATGATACTTGGCACACCTGGAACCAATCGAATTTACCAAAAAGACCTGATAGTATGGAAACACAATGTGGAAGAAATCTGTGGTGCTGTTGCTGTTTGCTTGCTAGCACGTGCAAGTTTGCAGGGATGGTTCTCTGGAAAACCAGCCGGCATCATCTGGATCGGCAACTGCGGCTGCTGGATTTGTCCTTGTTCTCCCTGACTATGCATTCCGGCTCTGCTTCCTTGGCTTGATTCTTTAAAGGCCTGCTTCCACTACTTCCTTTCTGTGGCCCCTTTTCAAAGGCCGTGGACAAAGCGAGGCTGGGACTAAGCAGGGGATCGGTCCCAATGGAGTTGTGTGACGCTGACTAATCAGGCAGATCCTAACCATTCCTCTGGGCCTCCGTTTCATATTTGTTCAAGGGAAGCAGGAGAAAGTGAAGTCAAGGTACCTCCTAGATTCTTTCCCTGATGACATTCAGAAAGTTGAGCATGTCAAATTATTGAGAGAGCTTACAAACAAAAGGAAAACACACACGCAAACCCATCCATTGCCATCGGGTGTGTTCAGAGAACGACCTTAGAAACAGAGCAGAACAGCCCGTACGGTCTCCAGACGGAAGGACGCGTCCTTAAAAACGCAAGCTCTACTGATTTTACTGTGCGATTGCTTCTATTTTGTCTACATATTACTGCTCAGAGTTTCCTCCAGGTATTTTTACAACCGAAGCTGACAGGATCTTGGTAAGGGCTTACTGGAGCAAGGGTGAGAACAGAAAACAGAGTGGGGAAGAGTTTTTGCTTTATGTTTTCCTTGAAGGAGTGGCCGGTGAGCACAGGAGTGACCTCTGCTTTCAGTCTCATCTCTGCTTCCGGAACCAGTGGCAGGCATGCTGTGGCCACAGCTGGGCCCAAAGCTGGACCACCATAAGGTGTGCTAGAAATTCCAAGTTTTCAGTTTGTGTTTCATGGGAGCCTCGGCTCTCCTGCCCCATCCTCGGAGCATGCTCAGTAGAGACCATGTTTAGTTGGGTCTTCACTGGCCTTGTGCTAAAAGTGAACTCGCATAGGTGCTGTGTGATATAAAAACAGGCCCATCCACATGACTGCTGGGGATTAATGGTAAAGCTGTTTATTCGTTAAATCTACCCAAGCTCTACTTAAGGTTGATGTTTGCAGGTACGAGTTACCTTTGAGGTTCAGAATACTGATTTAGATTGCCATCCCCAAGTCATGCCATCACCCAGGGGAAACTGGCCGCATGACATCCTAGTTCTTTTAACAGGTCTGCTCCAGATATGTGTCCTATACCTCAACAGTAAGCAGAGTTACACAAAAGAGGGCTAAGGGGGAGGGAGGGCCCGAGGATAATTCTAGATCGGCGGTTCTCAACCTGTGGGTCGAGACCCCTTTGGGGGTCGAACGACCCGACCCTTTCACAGGGGTTGCCTAAGGCCATCGGAAAACACATAAATATTTCACAATATATAATTTCATATGGTTTTGTGATTAACCACTATGCTTTAATTATGTTCAATTTGTAACAATGCAAATATATACTATCAGATATTTGCATTACAATTCAGAATAGTAGCCAGATTACAGTTATGAAGTAGCAACAAAAATAATTTTATGGGGGTGAGTTAGTTTATTGTGCCAACCTGGCTGATAAACACATGTGGGATTAATTGAACGGTAGAGGGATAAATGGCTCGGTGGCCTTTCAAGTTCTTGCTTTGTGATGGTCGCACCAGGGTGCAGCTGCCTTAGCAGTTCCCTGCTTCAGCTTGCAAGACTGACTTCCTACAAGACATCCCCAAGAAGAAGCCATATGGACCTACCCCGATGCAGCCCTGGGTGCTGGAGCAGCCGTGTGGAGACCCCTGCCAGTGCTGAGATGCTTATACATTCACTGACTCAGCTTTCCTCCTGCAGTCGGCATCATTGCCTCTGTTTTGTGAGATGGAGGACTTTTTGTATTGGTGTTGGACATATGGGTTAATGGGTTAATGTTGGACTTGTGGGCTTAGGCAGCATTGGGTTAGGATGTTTTCTTGATGCACACTTAATCTTTACATAAAACTCTCTCTTATAAATGAGTTGTTATGGATTTGTTTCTCTAAAGTACCCAGACTAATACAGGGGGTCACCACAACACGAGGAACTGGGTTAAAGGGTTGAGCCATTAGGAAGGCTGAGAACCACTGTTCTAGATGATCAAAGCATTTCTTTCTCTTCTCTGAACTGTGGGATGGGAGGAAGCTGAAGCTGTAGACTAGACAGGTGGTTAATGAGAGGAAGGATAAGCCATCATTGGTCCATTCCAAATTCCACCAGCCCCTAACACTAAGTTTTGGAAGAGAGATGACTAGCTGGGACTTATCAACTAGGTATGTCACAGATTCCAGATATTTAAAAAATTTGGGCTGAACTCAAAAAAGGTTAGAGGGCCTAGAACTGCAAAACTCTCTAGAGACCCTAAGTCAAAACTCATAAAAAAACAATGTTACAAACGTTTGGAAAGATACTTGCACAGTTCAGTAATTTTAAGCTCCTAAGGACAAGTCACCTCCACCCCTACTATTGCTATCAATTGCTCTTAAGCCAGTCAGGGAATCTTCGTGATTATCAAGGTAACACTTTTTGAAAATGACCTGTGGTATTTGTTTGTGTCTGTCTCATGAGCTACAGTCTTGGAAACCCCCAAGGGCAGTTCTACTCTGTCCTATCGGGTTGCCATGAGTCAGAATCTACTCGATGGGAGTGAGTTTGGCTTATCCCTAATTACTGTGAATATTGTCTATGACTAGCTATTGTGTACATCTAATAATTAGTAGTGCCTGTTCATTCGTATAGGAACCTCGGGGGCATAGTGGCTAATGGGTTGGGCTGCTACCACAAAGTCAAGGGTTTGAGCCCACCACCTGCTCTGCAGGAGAAACATGCAGCTCTCAGCTCCTGGAAAGACTGACAGCTCAGAAACCCACAGGGGCACTCCTGTAGGGTGGCTATGGGTCAGCATTGACCTGATGGCGGGAAGTTTGTGTTCCATCATGAGTATGCTTACAGGGACAGTGGGAGTGCTTGTATCAAAGACAGCAGCATAACTATATCAAACATGCATTTAAAAAATCTTTCATAAAATAAGAGAAACCCTTGAAGAAAGAGGAGAAAAAAATCTCATTCTCACCTTCATTGAATATGGCCTCTTCTGTTGGAGAATACTCATTATCATCCTGAGTTTCTGAGAGTACGGGCTTCCTACCTCAGGCAGTAATGTCTAGATTTAAGAAAATCTAAGTTTAAGACTCATTATAGTTTATGACATTCAGACAGAAGCAACAATGCCAGGGAGTCAGATCTAAAAACATACCTTGATGATTGGTTCATTCATTTACCTGAAAACCGAAAATGGGGGGAAATCTCTACAAGTGTTCATTCATACGGACATAAATTTCTATCGAAAAAGCACTCAACTGCCATGTGAAAATAAAAATCCTTCCCTGGAATTTGACACAGGCACAGCAGCACTGCAAAGACACAACGCGTGCCTCTTTATGCAAGGGGTGCTCTGGCCCCTTCCCAGGAAGCCTTCAGCCCCTTTCCAGATGCGGATGTCCGGGTTATGTTGAGAGAAAGAATGCACTTTGTTCAGCTGTGGAACCAGTTGCAGCACCTGAGGCATGACCACATCCCCAAACACCAGGAAGCACCGGGGGTCCAACAGTGAAACAAACCATCACATGCTGATTTCTCAAGCGGGAGGTAGCCCCTCGGATCTCCCTGCAGTCTGGTGAATGGTCTGTGAGTTAGTTAATTGTGCCAGCCTGGCCGATAATCACATGTGGGGCTGGTTGAAAGGCGGAGGGATAAATGGGTGGTGAAGCCTCGCCTTTCTAGTTCGCGGGTCTCTTGCTTTGTGATGGTTGCATTGGGCGCAGCTGCCTTAGCAGTTCCCTGCTTCAGCTTGCAAGATTGACTTCCTCCAAGACATCCCCAAGGAGAAGCCGCATGGATCTATCCCGATGCAGCCCTGGGTGCTGGAGCAGCCGTGTGGAGACCCCTGCCAGTGCTGAGATGCTTACACGTTCACTGACTCAGCTTTCCTCCTGCAGTCGGCATTATTGCCTCTGTTTTGTGAGGTGAAGGACTTTGTGGACTGGTGTTGGGTAAATGGGTTAATGTTGGACTTGTGGGCTTGGGCAGCATTGGGTTGGGATGTTTTCGTGATGCACATTTTCTTTGCATAAAACTCTCTCTTATACATGAGTCGCCGTGGATTTGTTTCTCCAAAGTACCCAGACTAATACAGTCTGCAAAGGTTAGGATCTTCTTGCACACAGCAGCCTGAGGGGTGGGGGTGGGCACGCAGGGAGGGAAGGTTCTAGACTTAGATGTCTTCAATTAAGACAGAGTGAATGGCAGGGCTCAGGAAGATGCCAAGAGATAACAGATCACCTGGGAATGAGCCACCACCAAGAGGAGCTGGACGCTTCTCTAGGAAGCCACAGCGCTCAGAAAAAGTCATGGCCAACGTTTTCCACGGGACTGGTCAGAAAAGCGGGACATTCATCCTCGTGCACATTGCATCTCTCTACTGCATTCTCGGGCATTAAGGGTCCTCCTTTTCTTAGCAGAGAAGCACACTTCATGTGTGTTTCACAGGCGCCTGGGTGGTACAAGCAGTGAAGCACGCAGTAGCTAATGGGAAGACTGGCTGTTTGAACCCCTCTGGTCTCCAGAGTTCCAGGCTTGGAAACTTGCAGGGGCAGTTCTACCCTCTCCTTCGGGTCCTTTTGAGTTGGAATCGGCTCGATGACAGCGAGAGACAGAGGAGAGGGGCTCCTTCAAAGAAAACACAGGGTGGTCTGCTCTCTTAGACACTAAACCCCAAACAAAAGAGCCGTAGGCCTGTTAACACCAAGTTGGTGCCAACTTGTAATGAACTGATAATAAATGAAATGAAAAGAAATAATAGTAAAGATTACCGCCTAGAAAATGCTCTGGGGAAGTTCTACTCTGCTACACAGGGTTACTAAGAGTCAAAAAGAACGGAGAGGTAAACAACCTATGTTTCAAAGTGCTTACTGCCTCACAAAACAGAGGCAACAGAGAACATGGCTCTGCTTTTTTATTGTTGTTTTAGCTTTTGAAGAGAGTTGACAAGCGGTGCTGATAGCACAGACCTGTCAATCTTGTGATGGAGAGGCTCTGGCTCTTTTATATGTGTAATAGTAAATTAAAAGGTATTGCTACTAAGGTTTCGGCCAATCCAGACATGGGTTTATTCCAAACCCAGCAGGTCTGTTGTCAGTGGACGGCTGCAGACAAGTTCTCTCAGTAATATATTTGTCTTAGCTTTGTGAAGGTGCCTTCAATGAAAGTCCAATCAAGACAGTAGCTTCTGAGGGGATCACCTGGGCCAGTTAAAGTCAAGGCAGAGAGGTCAGCTCAGAAGGTCACGGCAAATGTTATTTGGAGATTTCTAAGGGGGTAAATCCTGATAGATTTTTCTTGCAGAACACGGCAACCACAGGGGCTTTTATGAAGAAGTTTTACAAAAATTAAAATGTGCACTGGTGAGGAAAAGGCCAGGGAAGTTATGTTAGGGAATTTCCCCCATCACAACAATACACTTGCTCATTCTCTGAGGGTAACAAGGGCTGTACTATAAAAATATCAGGGGAATCTATATTCCATCCACCCAACAGCCTGGATCTGCCCTACCCTTACAGCCTTGATCTTGCCCCTTCAGACTTCTCAATGCCTCCCCATCCCCACCCCTCCCCACCACCCCAGGCCCAACTCAAAGGCACTGAAGCGGCATGCGATGTCCACACGTCCATGTTGATGTGGTGTACAGCTACGAGCACAGGATTTTGGGGGGATGGGTTGGAGAGATAGAAACCCTGCCCAGAACTGCACAGACCTAGATGGAGAATATACTGAGAAACAATAGCTTCAGATTTTGATATTTTAAAAAATTAAGGTCTTTTAAAAATTTTATGCTTTTATAGCAATACTTTTTAACTTACTTGTTTAGATCTTACATTCAACTCAGCAATATCATGAGGCTGCTGACTAAAATGCCTGCAGTTCAAAAACTCACCAACTTCTCCTTGGGAAAAAGAGGAGGCTTTCTCCTGCTGCCGAGTCACAGTCTCAGGGGCCCGCAGGGAGAGTTACCCTGTCCTATATGGCCGCTGGAAGTAGAACTGACTCTATGGCGGTGAGGGTTTTTTCCCCCCAGAGGGAAGTACTAGTAGTCCTTGTATTTATAATAATTAGCATTTGGTTCCTAACCATAAGGTTAGCAGCTGAGTCAATCGGTGAGTCCCTTGGAAGAAAGACCTGGCAGCCATCTACTTCCAGAAATCAATTCCCAAAGAGCCGGTGGAGGCCAGTCCTGCCCTGACATACATCACGTGGTCATCAGGGGTTGTCAGCAGCAATGGGTGCACAGAGCATGTCAATACTGTGTTATGTAGGAGGAAGCTTTCTAACGCTTCTGAAAACCTTCAGACTCAAGAGTTCTGATATTTTTATTTTGTTCTGTTTTAAAAAATAACATTTCTAAGGAGCTGATACCAAGGGCTCAAATAGAAAGGAATGTGTTTGATACAATTGATGTGTGGGTTGTAAGAGCTGTAAGAGCCCCCAATAAAATGATCTTTGAATGAAAAATAACATTTCTAATCATTCTTTAATTTCCATTGCTTGCAGAGGAAACAGACATCTTGCCATTTCTGGCATGTTAGTAGTCCCCACAGCAATGAACAATAACAGCCTTAAAACTAGTCTCTTTATGAAACAAACACACCTTTACAAATGTAAATTCCCTCAATATACTGTTAACATTCACAATGGACACGAAGCGCTCCAAACTGGCCATCTATCTATGCAGCTGGGAAAGTTAGTCCGGCCCCTTGCTCCAACATGCTATGTATTTCCAAATGTCAGTTCCTGCGTACCAGAAATTAGGGGACTGCGGTAGCCTGAAGCATCTGCACATCACAGAAGGGAGGCTCGGGGCACAGGCGGTCTGCTGGGCTCTACGTGTGAACTCCCGAGGAACACACCGCAGCCGAGTCACACTCAGCCCCACCATCGCAAGGAGGTTCATGCAAACAAGGCCTGCCTGTGAGGTTGACAATAAGAGTTGATTCTCCAACGATAATCACTAGTTCTTCCTGAGACACTTAAAAAAAGTCCATTGCAACCGTCTCTATTACATTCATCTCCTCATTCCAACCCATGCCCTCTTCTGTTACGATCGCAACAGGGTATACTCTGTTCTTGTGGGACTTATCTTCTAACTCACTCATCATGCTCAGCCTGCCGCAGAACACCGAGAACGGGTCTCTGCTCATTCTTTTTGGGTCTGCAGTTCAGCACCAGCAATGAGCTCCGAGGAGGTGCCCGTGGAGAGACACGGGCATTCAGTTCCTGCCTCGTCAATGGCTGCCTGCATGAACTCACCTCTGAGCCTCAACTCTTCACCCGCAGAAGGTCGATAACGACGGCCTGCCGTGGATTGGTCGTGAGAACTAATGGAAGCTGCGAACTCAAGAGTTTCCAGAGCACAGAGACTCGCGCAGAGGAACTGACCCCGAATGTGTAGCAAAGTCACATCGCAACTTTACACGAACATTTCCAAACTGGCTAGTTCAGTCATCAACACACGAAATAATTTCAACCTGAAACAAAACTATACGCTTTCTTGTTTCTTCTTCTTTGTTAAGTCTAAGTACGCAGTTGATACACGGTTGTACGTGAACAACAACACAAATCTTAACAATTCTATTTTGAATATTACCACCCCCCCCAACACCACCACACAAAACCAATGGGGAGGAAAAAAGGTACTTGCCATATCTGTGTTGATGTGCGCGAAAGATGGCACATTGAAGATTCCCTGGATCACCTCGGGCGGGCTGCTTACTCCCAACCATAAGAACATATTGAGACCGTTGGCCAGCAGGAATATTCCTTCTTCCGAAAGGCGAGACTCAGAGCAACGAACGGCAGCAGGCAGGGTTGTACTCTTGACATCTAATGTGTGCTGGGTTGGCAAAGGCAGGAGAGTTAGAAACCGCCTCTCTTTCCCCCGTCTTCCCTTCCTGGTAGCGCATATTCAGTGAATGCCTCCTGCATGCCAGGCATCGTTCTGGCCCTTAGACAATGAGCCTCCTGCCTTGTGCAGCTGATGATTTTGAGAGAGCTGAGGGACCACAGGTAAGGTAAGTCAAACACATAGACTTTTAGAGGGTGTGAAATTCTAGGAAGACAAAGGAAGCAGGAGAATGGGGTACATTGGGGGTGGGGTGAGGTGGTATTACAAATTTAAACAAGGTAGTTAAGGAAGCTTTGCCAAGAGGGTACAGATTTAAAATAAAGATCTGAAGAGATGAGAGATGGAGTCATGGAGCTACCTGGGGAAAGAGCCTTCCATGTGAACAGAACAATTTAGTGCACAGGTCCGGGGCAAGAGCCTGCCCGAGGCGTCTGAGATCAGCTGAAGTGAGACCAGGGAGAGTAACAGGGATGATGTTGGGCACAGATAAGAGTGGTAAGAACTTAACGCTTTTTCACCGCAAGTAAAATGTTTGTTTCTACTGGAATTTTCTCAGCCGAGAAGTGACATGCGCTGACAAATACTTTAATACGCTTTAACAAGATCACTTTAACTTCTCTGTTGAAAATAGGTGGCAGGAGGCTTGTTGGGGAGATTGGGGCAATATTCCAGGGAAAGATGATTAGGCTTGGATCTGGGAGATGGCAGGAGAGATGGCGAGATGTGGGCAGAGCCAGAAAGGAGAGGTGACTTGCACGTGCTGCCAGAGGAAATGTGGTACACAGGAGAAAGCAAGAAGGGCAGTCGGGAGAGAGATTTCTGACCTGAAGCCCTGGAAGGCGGGAGCGAGTGGTGATGGGTGAGAATGAGAAGACCCTGGGAGACTCACATTTAGAGGTTAGAGCTGGGCTTGGGTTAAACGTCCAGTTCACATTCAAGGAGAGATGTTCTCAGTAGGGGACCGGGCTGGGGATATGCATTTGGGAATCACCCGTTTGTAAACGGAATTTGAAGTTATGAGGGCAAATGAGACTTCCGAGGGAATGTGTGTCTAGAAGGGGAGAGGAGACAGAGAGTGGATGGGGTAAGCTAGTGACGGGACCAGGAGGCGGAGCCTGGAAGACAACCTCCAATGGTTCAAGTCACGTGCCAAAGCTGTTTCCAGAGACAGCGAGTGACTGACTCTGTCAGATGCCAGAAAAGACCAGGGCTGAGAGCCGCCCAATGGACTTAGACACATGCTGGCCACGGGTGACCCTGCCAGAGAAGTTCAGAGCAGTGGCATTGCTCTTGTTCCTGGGAGCTCCAGCTTCTCTGACTTAGAGGTTTTTGATAACCCAATTCTATCTGGAAAGCTGTCACGTGCAAGAATTCACACCTGATGCTCATATTGTTTGAAAGAACGGCGTTTCCCCCTAACCTATTCAGCAGTGATGGTTTTGTTATGGAAAGTTCAAGTGTCAAGAAGCTGTAAATTAGTTCATTTGCTTTCCTCGGTCCTCTCCCTCAACTGGAACCTATTAGGCCTCACGGAAAAGGCCCTGTTCCCAAAGTGCGGAGGCCTGCCAGATATCTAGGGTTGACTCCACTCTTAGGACAAGAGGGTGCCGGTGGTTTGGGAGGTGACTCTGAGTCATGGAGACCTTACGTCTAGAACTGCTGCCCCGTCCTCTGCCACCTTCCTGCGTGTTGGTTGGTGTGAGTCCCCTCTGGGGCTCACGTGGAGGGGTTTCTTGCTCTCCCCCGCCCGCTGCTGGAGCAAGCACGCTGCGCTGCTGTGGCTGCTGGGTGCTACGGAGGAAGTTCCACATGCCAGAGCTCTTGTCTCCGCAAACGGGTGCTGACATGGAAACCTCTCATTTCACTTGGGCACGGCTGGCTGACACAGTGGCTAGCCCACTGGGCTCAAACGTAGGAACAATTGTGACTAGGGGACGGTCCGTGCTGGACGCCGTTTCCTCACACAGCTACTGTGAGCTGGAACAGACTCAACAGCACCTTGCCAAACAACAACCATAGCCATGCTGATTGTAAGTGGTGACAACTAGACATGCGCACATTGGATAAAGAATAAATACATGCACACACACCTATGTCTTTCTGGCATCTTATAGACACACATGCATTTTAATGTCATAAGGTAGCGTTCTCGAACAACCAAAGCTTAGCTTGCTCAGTTTGATTCCCGACTTTTCCATCTGCCTGCTCCACTGAAGACGGGTCAATTGTGGAAGGACAGACAGCAAGCATCTCAAAAAACCAGTCAGCCCGGAACCCTTCATATCCCCACCCCGCCCCCACCGCCACCATGCAGAACACATGTGACACACGCATGCGACTTATTCAAAGAGTCTCAGTGCCGAATCCTACACCACAAGCTTTGACAGTATTTGTGATTTCAAATCCCTTCATTTGATCCCTTTCCAAACGCTCCTGGGATATGGGCCATCGCCGCATGCTTACGATTGGCAGGAGTTTCGGGTAGAAGAAAAGCTGTGAGTCAGCCACATCCATGGTCATGACCAGCTGTCTCTGAAACGTCCGCTCATCCGTTGAGATCTCTGGTCTGCTGAGCAGCACACAGCTTTTTAACAAACAGTTCATGTACACCGGCAACACTTTCATGGAATCTGGCAGGATAAGCTGAAAAAGAAAGGCAGGCATTCCTTTGACTGGCATGGGCTTGTTGTTGTTGAGAATACACACAGAGACACCTGCATGAGCGCCACCTTTTCTACGTGTACAATCCAGTGGCACAGAACACATTCGCCGAGTCGCCTAACAATTGTCACCCAACTTTCTGAGCTGTCGCTCCCACGGGGACATAGATCCACTGGTCCCTCCTGTTCCCGTCTTATCTTTCTTGTTTCTGTTATCCCAGTTTCAAGTTTCAACTTGATCCCAGATACATAATTCTTAAAAGAACGTCATGCTCAATGCAGGAAGCACACCAGCCTGTGTGATCATGAGGTATCGATAGGATCAGGGACCAGGCACCAAAGAACAAAAGAATCATATTATTGTGAATGAAGGGGAGTGCAGAGTAGGGACCCAAAGCCCATCTGTAGGCAACTGGACATCCCCTTACTTAAGGGTCGTGAGGAGGAGACGAGCCAGTCAGGATGCAGGATAGCACCGATGAAATCTACAACTTTCCTCTAGTTCTTTAATGCTTCCTCCCCCCCACTATCACGATCCCAATTCTACCTTACAAATCTGACTAGACCAGAGCATGTACATGGGTACAGATAAGAACTGGAAACACAGGGAATCCATGACAGATAAACCCTTCAGAATCAATAATGAGAGTAGTGTGATACAGAAAGGTAAGGGTAAGGTGGGGGGAGAAATGGGGAACCAATCACAATTATCTATATATAACCCCTGCCCTGGGGGACAGACAACAGAAAAGTGGGTCAAGGGAGACATTGGTCAGTGTAAGACATGAAAAAATAATAATAATTTATAAATTATCAAAGGTTCATGAGGGAGGGGGAAAATGAGCTGATATCAACGGCTCAAGTAGAAAGAAAATGTTTTGAGAATGATGATGGCAACAAATATACAAATGTGCTTGACACAATGGATGGATGGATGGATTGTGGTAAGAGTTGTACAAGCCCCCAATAAAATGATTGAAAAAAAAAAAGTCTGGCTTGATTCTAAAGAATTCTTGTTTGGGTTTTAAGATGACATAAGTGGCAATGGACTTTCAAAAGCACAACTACTACTTTACAGTTAAGGTCACTGAACTTGTCATTTGAAGTCATAACACCCCCAAACAATGTAGTATACTGAAGCGTGGGGCAGTTAATAGAGAGATTTAACGTAAAAAAATAAAATCTACCTTGCACAAGCTAACAAGCATATTTAACTTTTTTTTTTTTTTTTTAGCATCTTCCGCACAGCCCTGAAAGGGAGGACCTCATTCCACTCTGTTTCGTGCCCTCGGAGCCTCCCCGCTCTCCAGTCGATGCTGGCCCTGCCTGGCGACAAAGGGCCATTCTTCCTAGGCCCAGAGATACACAACCCCAGGGTGGAGCTTGCTCTTTAACGGTCTTGCTTGGGCCAAGGAAACATGAGATTCCACTGTCAAATAGCGGAGTTCCCTGACGAATTCCTCCATGTATACTGGTGGAGGGCACCACATATGATGTTATAGTCCCTGGAGGGAACCTGGAGACTAGCTATTCTATGTTTTCAATTAATTAAGGGTATATTTTAATATTACGCTTCCTAGTGACTTCTTAATCTCTCTAATTTACAGACTACATGATGAATACTATATCATTTTTTAAAGTACGGCTGTTGATGGAGAAGCATGCTTTCAAAAGTCTTTAAATCATGCACATGAGCTTTGCTAGTGGAGCATGAAACATCTCATCCTAAGATGTAGAATAATTGACAACAACTTTTTAAGATTAAAAAAGGCACTGTCATGATTTCATAGAATACACGCATACATTGGGTTAACAGACGAGCTAGTAGCAGAGACAAAGATTTTAACCTTTAAACC